CTCGCCTTCAGCCACCAGATTTCCTGCACTGTCCCACACTTTGGCTTTCCCCCCTTGGAAGAGAACGGAGGCACCTTTCTCTTCAAGTTGTCCGGCTGAGAGCAAGTTTGCTCCCAAATCAGGAACAAGCAAAGATTTATTGACACAAAATGACTTACCATCCTTTTCGAACTCAAGCTTGCCGACTCCTTTGATTGGTACTTTGCCAAGATCAGCAAGAGTCACAGCTTTTGAGTCATATGAGGGCTGAAAATCCTTGAGAATGGACTGATAGTGAGTCATGGTTTCAGAGCAGCCACTATCAAGAATAAACTCCTCACTACTAGTAGAGAAAACGTGCATGCAAGTAGCAGCGTTAAAAAGGACAGGACCATCGGACTCTTTGGACTCATCTTGACTTGTAGAATGACTTGCTATATTTGCTATGGCTGCCTTACCTTTTTCAGATAGTAGTTGAGGTGGGGGGACCCAATTAGGAGGCTTCTTAGGACAAGCATACCACGGGTGACCCCACTCATGACAAAAAAAATACTCAAAATTAAACCTTTTAGCATTCGGGGCTTGGCTGAAATTATTGACTCTTGGCGTATTGACTCTTGCATTCCTAGGCTGGTATTAATTGGGAATCGAAGGCCTTGGCTGGACATAGGGACTGGACTTATAGGGAGGACTTGACTGAGGAAAACGAGAGGGTTTGTATGGGTTGGAAGGTGACTGAAATTTCGTACCGTAGTAGGGTTGAGGGCGGTTTGGGCTGAAATTTCCTTGCCACTCCACGCACCTTCGTCACTCCGCTTGTTCCGTGCAAGGTCTCGACTCTGCTGCTCGTTGACAAGGGCCTCAAAGATGAACGCACGACTCTTCATTGACTGGGGGAGCGCTTGTAGTGTTGCACGGAAAGTGTCCCACTCCGGTGTAAGGCCGGTGAGGATGACGGTCTTGAAAAGAGACTCTGGAATCTCCAAGCCGATCGCTGCTGCTTCCTCCAGCATTGCTTCAGCTCGTTGTAGGTAGGCTTGTGCTGATTCATCTTCTTCCATCTTCAGATTCATGAAGCGGCTCCACATCTCGGCTTGGCTGCTCTCGGATTTTGACTGGTGCATAGTCTTCAGTCGGCTCCATGCTTCCTCTGCACTGTTTGCCTTGGTAGAACAGGGCAGGAGCGGCTTCAACTGCTGCTCGTGAATGCTATTGAGTAGGTAGAGGAAGGCCTCCTTGTTGCGTCGTTCGTAAAGTCGTTTTTCAGCTTCTGAAGCATCTGCTGCTGGTTTGGCTGCTTCTCCAGTGTAGTAAGGCCACAAATCCAGAAGCAATGTAGTGAGCTCAAACTGAGTTGCCCATGTTGGAAAATCTTTGCCGTTGAACTTGGGGAGGTGAAGCTTAGGCATGAAGGAGGTGAGTGGTGAGTATGTTGTTGAAGGACTGCCTGGTGCAACTGCTTCCACTAATCCAGTAGCTGCTGATGTTGACTCTGAAGCTCCACCGGCTGGCTGGAGTGCAGGACCAGATGGATTGTCTCCCGCCATGTTCGTATGGCGCTAGGATAGGAACGTGGTGGGCTAGGTTGATCGAAACAACGAGCTCTGATACCAACTTGTAAAATATAGTAGCTGTGACTACTGGAGGGCTGGAAACTTGGCTGGAAAGTCTTAGCAGGGCTGTTGGAATTGACTGGATGAGGTAAAACTTCACTATGTTCAAGATTAACAAGCCCACTAAAGCACAACTCTATAGGCATCACAAAAAGGACAGATTGAGAGCTCAAACTAGGCTGATAGACAATGTAACTTCCCTGGTAACTTGGGCACAATCTAGATTGCATGGACCTTGAGTGACTTTGAGTGCCACATGAGGTGCATGAATAAGAAAACTCTGGATATTTCTGTTATAGCTGATTCTGATGTGTAGAAACCTGCAGAAACTGCCAACACTTCGGTTTGAAGGCAGCTTTGAACTGTATCGAGTCTTCGGCTGAAATCTGATTGGTGGTGGAACTTTCGAAGTACTTCCTGAAGCCTCTGATTCATCGCCGACATTCCCCCTTGCTGCTGCTTGTGTGCAAAGGGCTGGGGCGGCAGAAACTCGATTCTCCAACAAAGAGAAGTCACGCCGGGTCAAAGGCGCGTCCAAGGAAGTATGAATTTCGAACTCGAGGCGCGTTCGGTGCATGGTTGGATTTGGAAATTGAGCCGAGTACAACTCAGCTCGAAATTAGGCGCGGCGCGAGGGCGAAATCAGAAATCCTTTTGCTTATAACTTGCTTTGTGTTTTCTGTTTTTGTATGCGTTCTTCAATGAAATTACTCCATCTTTCTGCCTTGGCGTTTTCCATCAAATTCCTTCACACAGTTGAAGCCAGAGGTTACTATGCATACTACTAAGACTCTAAATAGTCTTCATAGTCTAGACTAAAGGCTGCGCACGTTCAAGAGCTGGTATCAGAGCTGGTTTAAGGCGTGTTATAGCGTTTTAAGGATAGGCGGAATCTATTAAGTATGACGGGAGATCATACTGAGGCAAGTTCGGGCTCCTCTGTGAGCATTGGAGGCTCAGAACTACAGGCCATCCTAGCAGTGCTAGCACAAGCTAAATTGATGGCGAAACCAACGATTGGGCTTAGCGAGGCCCAACGGTTCCATGGAGAAAATTATAGCACTTGGCGACTCAAGTTCATTCGTAGAGCGGAGGAAGTCGATCTCTGGCCGTACTATCATCCCGACAAGGAGACGGGAGAGTGCGTCCCACCATATGCAAAAGAAAAACCAGAAGAAAATGCGTCATTCAAAAAAAGGAGTAAGCAAGCCTTTTTTTCAATTGTGCCGTTCGGTTTCTGACAGCATTGCAGTGGGGCTGGATCAATTTGCGGGAGAGGAGAACTCTGCCGAACGAGCCTGGGAGTACATGGAAGCTGCTTACCTTGGGCGTACGGATACGAACAAAGCAGCCATTTGGAAGAAACTCCTTCTATTGAGTATGGAGCCGGGGGAGAGGGTCATTGACTACATGAATCGAGCAAAGGGGTACAAATGACGACCTCAAGGCGATGGGGGCAGCTGAAACTGAAGGAGAAATGATGGGGTACATCATTACTGGGCTGCCCAAGGAGTGGGAAGCAGAGATAGGGCTCCTAACCTGCAACCCACCCGCGAATATGACCAAGCTGTTGGAGACGCTCCAAGCCCTGGAGTGGGTGAAAGCTGATCGGCTCAGGAAGGAGATTAGCTTGAGCGGAATGGGACCAGTCACTCATGCTATGGTAAACGCAGCAGCGACAGGGAAAGGATACGGAGGTTTCGGGGTGTGTTTTCAGTGTGGGAAGAAGGGTCATAAGCAGATAGACTGCTATGACAACCCGAGGAGCAGAAATTTCAAGGGAAAGTGGAGCGGTCCGCAGCAAAGGGGCCTGCAAAATGGAGGGCAGCAGAGAGAGGGGGAGGTTCAAGGCGATAACAAGATGCAGAGAGGCGGATTTTCAGGGGCATGTCACTATTGCCAGAAAATTGGGCATAGGGCAGCCAACTGCTACTTGAACCCGAACAGCAGGAACTACCGAGGGGCAAACCAGGAGCAGAATCAACCACCAGTAGCAAAAGCAAATGCAGTGGAAGCTGAAAACAGTGAGGCGGACGTAATTTTGGGGGGAGCTCACAAGGCAAACGTGGCAAGGGCATCGGGAGTGTGTTGGATGGCAAAGGGGTTTGGTGAAGCTGCGTGGTTCATGGATAGTGGCTGCACGCAACATATGACCAATCATCGTGAGTGGCTTACCGGATTGAGGGATTCTAGTGTACCCTACGTTCTATTGGGCGATGAAGGGAAACTGAGTGTGAAGGGGGAAGGAGAGTTGCTGCTCCAGGGAGAGTACGGGGAGCTGAAACTGGAGAATGTGCTTTTAGTGGAGAAGCTGTCACTGAATCTGATCAGCCAAACTCAACTTGACAGCACGGGGTGCAAAACCTTCAGCGACAAGGGGAAGCTGTGGGTTTTCAATGAGGATTGGAAGGTGGTTGCAGAAGGGAACAGAAATCAGGGGTTGTATGAAATGAAGCTGAGAAAGAAGAGGCTGGAGGATGAGAATGCCACCTACCTGCCATCACTCGAAGGGGACCTAGCTAGGGAGGAGTTGAAGGCTCGGCTTGGTGGCTTACCAGTGAAGGAGCTGCAGCAGGAAGCTTCAGCCATGGTGGTTGGGATGGAGAAGGTGGAATTGGAGACCTTGCACAGGCGCATGGGGCATGCAAGCATGGATAGAAGGGGTTGGTAAAAAAGGGCATGGTAAAAGGTGTGGCACTGAAGGAGGGGGCTGGAAGCAAGGGAAAATGCAGCAAGTGTGTTGAAGGTAAAATCACAAAGTCCCCTCACCCCCACCACCAGGTACATGAGCCTTATGGCACCTTGGACATCGTAGCAGCCGATGTGTGTGGGCCTATGAGGGTGGCGTCACGTCACGGCAGCCGCTACTTCGTTACCTTCACTGATTTGGGAACAAGGCACACATGGGTGACGGAGCTGAAAGATAAGGCAGAAGTGTTTCCTAGCTTCGTGACTTGGATGGCGGAAGCGGAGCGGCAAAGTGGGAAGGTGTTGAAAGTTTTGAGGACAGATAATGGTGGGGAGTTTACAGGGGACCTATTCAACAAGTTTTTACAGAGTAAGGGCATCCGACGGCAGCTGAGTGTACCCTACACTCCACAGCATAATAGCATAGCGGAGCAGGTGAACCGTTCCCTACTGGATAGTGTGAGGAGCATGTTGGCAGATAGTGGGCTGCCACTGAAGTTCTGGGGTGATGCATTGGCAATGGCGTGCTGGTCCAAGAACCGCCTACCTACCAAGGGACTTTGGGCAGACATGACTCCCCACGAGGCCTTCTATGGCAGGAAGCCGAATCTGGGGTTTGCCCGGGTGTGGGGGAGTATGGCGCAATACAGAGAGCCAGCCGATCCGGATCATAAGTTGCTGCCCAAGGCTCATTGGGGGATTAACCTCGTTACCTGCCCAATGAGCAAGGGGTGGGTGATCAAGGATGTAATTTCAGGAAAAGTCACGATCACCCGGGATGTTGTCTTCTACGAGGTGGTGAACTACCTGCAGTGGAAGGGAGTAGAGAAAGAGATTGCAGCAGCAGGGACAGCAACTGCACCGGACAAGGTGGAGGATCTTTTGGAGGAAAAGGAGAGTGAGGGAGTTGGGTATGAAGGAGATGAGGAACTCGAAGATGTGGAACGGGCAGATTCAGTTGATTGGGTGTGGGAGAAGGCACCAGCCAGTGAAGCGGATGAAACCAATGGAGTGGAGATAGCAGGGGAGCAGCCAAGCAATGAAGTAGCCGAGGGTGGCAATGAAGAGGTGGTTGGAGAAGGAGATGAAAAATCAGCAGCTGAAGGAGATAGTGATCCATGGAAGCTTCTAAACAGTGAAGACAGCAATGTCAAGATGAGGGAGATAGAGGAATTACTTGAGGAGGGCGCCATCGTGATTGGAAGGGAAGTGAAGAATGGAGAAGGGAAAGCACTGGCGGATTCCAGTGAGGATGAGGCTGAATCACCTGCAGAGGAGTTGGGGAAAGGAAAGAGGGTGAAGAAACCAAACCCTCGGTATGCGCAACTGCTGATGACGTGTTGGAAGGACATCCACACCCACCTCCTACTCTCTGCCACAGCTACTGACCTAGTCTCCAATGAAGGAAAAGTGACACACAACCTGCCCAAAGAACCAGTGAGCATCGAGGAGGCGCTAGAGGGTCCAGAAAGGGAGCAGTGGAAAGCGGCTATTGAGGAGGAGTTGAACACATTGGCTGAAAGGGGCACATGGGAGCTAGTACCTATGCCGGAAGGGAGGAAAGCCGTGGGAGTGAAGTGGATTTTTAAAATCAAGACCGGTGATATGGGGCAGCTGGAAAGGTTCAAAGCAAGGCTTGTAGCCAAGGGCTACACTCAAGTGGAGGGGAAAGACTACCAACAAAATGAGATCTACGCTCCAGTGAGCAAGTTGGCAACGGCGCGGGTTTTTCTCAAGGTGGTAGCAGCAATAAAATACTTCATGGTGCAGCTGGATATTAAAAACGCGTTTTTGTATGGGGTGTTGAAGGAGGACATCTACCTTGAGCAACTACCAGGGCATGACGACGGCTCGGGCAGAAAATGCAAGCTCAACAAGGCATTATATGGGCTGAAACAGAGTCTTAGGGAGTGGTATATGGCGATGGATGAGCGGCTACTGCAAGGGGGATTTCAGAAAAGCGAGTGTGATAGGGCATTCTTGGTGCTATACGTGGACGACATCTTGGTGGCAGGGAAAGAGAAGGTGTTCTTGGTGCTATACGTGGACGACATCTTGGTGGCAGGGGTGTGAGAGGAGGAGGTAGAGAAGGTGTGTGCTCATCTTGCGGAAGTTTTTCAAGTGAAGCAGATTCCGAGGACCACACTCTTTCTCGGCATGAACCTGGAGCGACGTAAGGAGGAGAGGAAGATGTTCCTATACCAGCAGAAATATTGCAGCAGGGTGCAGCAGAGGTTTGGCAATGGCTACACGAAGGCAATTTTGACACCATTGAGTGGGGTAGCTGAAAGTGACAGTGAAAGGGAGGAGGATGTCAACCAATGGGGCTGCAAAGAGAGAGCTTTGCAAGTATATCAGTCCATGGTGGGGTCTATCATGTATCCGGTCTCATGCACGCGCGTCGACATGGCATACGCAGCTAGCTATCTTGGGCAACAAGTGCAGCAGCAAGGGGAGAGAAAATGGAGAGAGATGAGGAGGACTATCGACTACCTACTGCAACATGAAGATGAGGGGCTGTCATTTGAAGGAGGTGAGGAAACCCTGGAGTTAGTGGGGTATGCGGATGCTTCACATGCATCAGATGAGAAAACAAGGAAGGGAGCATATGGTTACGTATTTTTGCTCGGCGGGACAGCAATCATGTGGCAAGCGAAAAGGTTGGCTGACATAGCGCTCACTAGTGCGGAAGCGGAGTACATGGCTCTGTTTTTCGCGTGCCAAGAGGGGGTTTGGCTGAGAAGGCTACTCAAGGAGATGGAAATCAAGGTGGAAGGGCCGACGGTGATACGCACGGATAGCAAATCTGCCATTGACTTGGCTCACAACGACAATTGGCACGGGAGGACCAAGCATATGGATGTGAAGTATCATTGGGTGCGTTCAAAGGTGAGTAGCAATGAGTTCAAGTTTGAATTCGTACGTACGGAGGCACAAGCAGCAGATTTTCTGACTAAGGTGTTACCAAGGGCTAATTTTGAGCGTTGCAAGAGAGAGGTTGGGATACGTACCTTGGTTGAATTGCAGGGGAGTGTGGAGCAGGCATAGAGCTGGTTCAAGGTGAAACGTGCGTAAGCTGGTTAGCAAACCACAGGGGAGATTGTTGACGGTGGTTAGCTAACCACGACCTAGCACAACCTGGAGTGACCTACATCGACCTAAGAAAACCTACTTTGACGAGCTGAGACTATGGGGAACCGAGGACCTAAGAAGAAGAGAGACTACCTATGTTGGGACGGTGGAAGGAGAAACACGGTAGCAGCGCGACCTGCAGTGGGAAACGAAGAGAAGGAGAGGAAGCGTGCTGAAATGGAGAAGAACATGGCTGAAATGTCGTGCTTTCAAGTGACGTGAAGAGAAGTCACGCCGGGTCAAAGGCGCGTCCAAGGAAGTCTGAATTTCGAACTCGAGGCGCGTTCGGTGCATGGTTGGATTTGGAAATTGAGCCGAGTACAACTCAGCTCGAAATTAGGCGTGGCGCGAGGGCGAAATCAGAAATCCTTTTGCTTATAACTTGCTTTGTGTTTTCTGTTTTTGTATGCCTTCTTCAATGAAATTACTTCAACTTTCTGCCTTGGCGTTTTCCATCAAATTCCTTCACACAGTTGAAGCCAGAGGTTACTATGCATACTACTAAGACTCTAAATAGTCTTCATAGTCTAGACTAAAGGCTGCGCACGTTCAAGACGGCGCGCCTCAGCCCTTAGCTCCTCTAGGTTCGCGCGCCTCATTTTCATCTACAGCGCCGCACCGGCTGTGCGTCTCTCTTGCTTAGCACCTCACCCCCTGGACTCCTTTCCCGCTTAGCGCCTCACCCGCTGCGCGCTTTGGGAGCTTAGCACATACTCTTCTCATTACCCCCCCTTCTCCCCCCTCATTACCCACCTTTATCCCCCCTTTACCCCTCATTACCCCCCTCCATTTTCCCCCGTTTTTGGGTCTTTTCTCCCCCTTCTCCCTCTCAGTTCCCTGGCCTCTACCCCTCACACTCCCCCCTATTCGCTCTCAATTCCCCCCCTTAGCCCTCACATTCCCCCCCTCTTCTCCCCATCATTATCCCCCGTTCTCCCTCTCATTTCACCTCCTGGACCCTCTCATTTCACCTCCTGGACCCTCTCATTTCCCGCCCTTACCGCCTTTGATTCCCCCCCGTCTCCCTCTCATTACCCTCCCTTATCCCTCTCATGTGGCTGTCCATCCTCCCTCTCATAACCACCCTTCTCCCCCTCATTTCCCCCCGTTCCCCCCCTCATTTCCCCCCTTTCTCCCCCTCATTTCCCCCCGTTCTCCCCCTCATTTCCCCCCCTTCTCCCCCTCATTTCCCCCCGTTATCCCCATCATTTCCCCCCCTTCTCCCCCTCATTTCCCTCCCTTCTCCCCCTCATTTCCCCCCATTCTCCCTCTCATCTACCCCTCTGCTCCCCTTCATTTCTGCCCTGGCTCCTTCTCACTTCCCCCCGTGCTCCCTCAATTCCACCCTTGCCGCTTCTCAATTCCACCCTTGCTCACTCCCATTTCCCCCCTTGTTCCCTCTCAGCCCCCCCCCCTTTTTATCACCATCATTTCCCCCCCTACTCCTCTCATTTCCCCTCCCCCCTTCCCCCCCACATATCCACCCCTTTCCCCCCTCATTCCCCCCCTTCTCCCCCTCATTTCACCCCCTTCTCACCCCCCCTTGTCCCTCTCATTTCATATTCTTCTCCCCCTCCTTTATCTACCCTACTCCTCTTCATTACCCTCATTCTCTGCCTCATTTCCACCCCTTCTCTCCCCCCTTCCCCCTCTCAAATCCCCCCCTCTCGCAGGTGAATACCCTCCTTTCCCTCTCATCCACCCCCCCCTTATCCTTCTCATTCCCAACCTTTCTCACTCTCAGCCCCCACCCTCTCTCACCATCATTCCTCCCCCTGCTCCCCCTCATTTCCCCCCGTTCTCTCCCACATGTTCTCCCATGTCCCTCTCGTTCCCCCCCTTCTCCCTCACATTACCCCCCCTTCTCCCATTCTTTTCTCCCCCTTGCTCACCATCATTTCCCCCCATTCCCCCTCTCAAATCCCCCCCTTCTCGCTCTCAAATCCCTCCTTTCTCCTTCTCATCCCCCGCCCCCTTCTCTCTCTCATTTCCCCCCTTTCTCCCTCTCATTTCTCCCATTGCTCCATCTCATTTCCCCTCTTGCTCCCCCTCAGCCCCCTCCCTTCTCCCTCTCATTCCCCTCCTTCTCGCCCTCCCTTCCCCCCCTTGTCCCTCTCATTACCCTCCCTTGGTGACAGATGTTGCAGAGGGCTAGACTCATGCCCTACCTTGGACCCCCATTACAAACCCCGCAGGTACTGTGCGTATTCCACTGCTTGCCTCGCGGCTCACACACAGTATTTCACGCTGCACTCTGGTACTCTGTGGGTTCTCGTGGTGGCGTGGTGAGGCATGCATGATAGGAAATCTCTTAGGGTTGCGTTTCCGGTTTGGGGTAATGTGTATCTTGTGGGCACTGGGTTGCTCTTTCTCCCCCTCATTACTTTCCTTTTCCCACCTGCAATTCTCCAGGCTTAGCTTGAGCTCTGTCATATGTGCCACCTTTTTCCCCTTCCTCCGTCCCGTTCCCCCCACTCCTCTCACTAGCAGGTCCACCAAGCGTCCCACACTGTCTCGCTCCCCTCTGCTGCACACCAATGCCAGGCATGCAACAGCAGCAGGCAGCACGTGCGGCATCTTTTTGCTTAGTTGACGGCCACCGGTGGTGATTCAAAAAGCATGCATACACTTCTAACTCTGTGTTTGTCGAGCTCACTTCACACGATATTAGGAACGTTATGGCCATATGGCTATCTACACTTTATCAAGTTTGATTGTAACCATTCCTCTCAACCTTCTCACTAATTACATATAAAAAGAACATCTGTAGGCCAATTTTCATCAGTACCGTACCATGCATGTGGGTAATCATATGCCCATGCATCTCAGGCCCTCATTGCAAATCTATCTTGATGGGCCATTCCCATTCTCTTTCGAACCCCTCAATGTCACCTTCATCCTCGTCATTTTCAACACCATCCTCGTCGCCTGCAAAGGATCAGAGGGGCTGGAAGGAGAATGAAAGGGTTTGAATGGGGATGGGAGGGACTGGAAAGGGATGGAAGGAGCTGGAGGGGGGTGGGAGGGGATGGGAGGAGCTGTTAGGGGATTGAAAGGGGATGGGAGGGGCATGAAGAGAATGTGAGGGGCTGGAAGGGGATGGAATGGGAGGGGCTGGAAGGGGATGGAGTTGGATGAAAGGTTATGGCAGGGGAAGGAAGGGTAGGCAGGCAGGTAGGGGAGGTGGGAGAGATGGTTACGAGGGCATGGAGGGAAGAGGAAATGGGGAGGCGGGAAGGAGAATTGGGGAGGAGGGAAAGGGAAATGGGGAGGCGGGAAGGGGTAATAGGGAAGCGGGAAGGGGAATTGGGGAGGCGGAAAGGGGAAACGGGGAGGCGCGAAGGGATAGGGGGAAGCGGGAAGGGGTAATGGGGAGTGGGAAGGGGAAACGGGGAGGTGGGAAGGGGTAATGGGGAGGCGGGAAGGGGAAACGGGGAGGCGGGTTAGGGGTAACGGGGAAACGGGGTTACAAAGCTGCGCGAGCGGGAGGCGACTGTGATCATGCGAGATCCCGCTGTTCGGCAGTTTCAGATGCAGCGTGTGTATTCAAGGAGGTGTGAGGAGGCGCGACGCCGCGACGGACAACGAGGCGAGGCTAATGAAAGGAGGTCCGTTGTGATCGGCTCAGCGAGGTGACTAGAACCGGCGCCGGCTAGGCCATAAGCACATCCGAAAAAACATGGGTTGGAATTCCTACTTCGATGTAACTCCAGAAGTGGCTCTGGGGTTGGGTTTCCGAAAGTATGGTTCAAGTTGGTGGCCATTATGCTTTTCGAGCGAACCGCGTGTACTTCGCTTCCAAGTGCGCCGGAACCAATCGAAAAGATCCGATTGTTTGGTTCGGAAACGAGCGCGATTGGCCGATGGCCTGGTTCATTTCGTTTGGCGATTTCGGTCATTGGATTTCCCACTCTGTTGGAACTGACCCCATTGGCCTATGCAGGAAGCGCCTCGAACAATAATCTATATAAAATTGGACAACGCTGCATGCACACTGTACCAAACATATACTCGTATCTCAATATACGTTAATAACTACTAGGATGACAGTTTGAAATAAGAATTAATATTTCATTCATAGCAAAATTTGTTATTATACAATGCTGCGTACAATGACGATTTAAAAAAACGGATCATCCATTGCACTCCTACGTTGAAATACATTTTGCTGCTTATCCTCAGGTATTTCAAAATTGTATCATCAACAAAAGGGTGAGTAATATTAATAATAGCCATAATGAAAATGGAAACATTATGATAAAAAAGAAACTACTTGATTACTCAGGCTGCTCTAAATCACACAATAGCAAGGAAGATCTGCTGCTCAAAGAAACTGCGGGGCCTGCACGAATGAAACTGAATGTCAGATGAAAAAAAAAACACACAGAAACAAGATAAATCTTACCGGCAGCAACAGTCATCGTGGGCTTTCATAAGGAGCAGACCTGCAAGAAAAAGCATACCTGCACGAAACATCAAACCTGCAAGAAAAAGACGATACAATAACAAGAAATGCAAGCAGAAAGTACATGAACTAGCTACCACGGCATGCAAAGACCATGCCTGACGCTTCGCGTCGAGCGCATAACGGGCTGACATAAAAGAAAAACAGGCAAACATCAGCATGAGCCGAACAGGGAAGAAAACTAAGGAAAAAACAGGCAAGCAACGCATAAAAAGTAGCATCGAGCACCATGTCTCACGAAAATCAGCAGCGACGGCGAGCAGGGTGAGTCTAGCTGCAGTGCGTGATGCTGATAGCCTGCTCGGCAATTCTGAAATGGGGTGCGGGGAGAGAGGCAGACAGATGAGAGGGACTGGGCAAGTACTCAATGCGAGCGATACGCGCTAGAGATTGAGCAAGGCAAACATAAACCAGGCAAACAAGTTACGAAGTCTGAATTTTCTGTTGTTTGAAGTTTATTACCTTAAAGCGAGCGCGGATACTTAACGCTGAGCTTCGTGACAGGCGCCCTTACTGGAGGAAAAACAATATGCTTGAACTGCGGGGAGAGGTTACGACTAAAAAGAGAGAAACGACTAGCCTAGAAACAGCTTTACGAAGAGATAGAACGAGAGTCTGAAAAGAAGCGAGATAAAGAAGAAGCAGATACACTGCACCTAACCTGTGAAAGCCTGTCAATGGGAACGCCCACAGACGTAATATCAGCGGGGCAACCGCCAGCGTGGCGTTGAATATGCTGATTCAGCCACTCAGAGGCTCAGCACTGGCAACGCTGTTACAAGCGTGAGCAAGGATTGGACGCACAAGCAACTTCGGCGTACAGCGACGCACTGCGACGTAATCGCACAGGCGTGTTTTGCAACTGCCAGCTCGACAAAAGGGCAGGACTGTTGTACAGCACGGCAGTTCACGAACACCGCTGTACACAATTTATTGTGCCGAAGACCTACCCGCTAACAGCTCATTTTACCAACCAAGGCACAGTTTCGGAAGTCAAAAATTGCACAGACAAACTGTCACAAATGATAACAAACATAGGCCATAACTAATTACAGGCAACAAGAATCCTACGCATGGTGATGTTTATGACTACATTGTATGTAGAAACCGGAAACAAACACATACAGCATAAAAATCAACTAATACTTTATTCAATCCAAACTGTTGTTTGTTAATATATTGAAATCGTATGCAAATGGTAAAAAACCTGGTAGTCTCATCGATACATACAGTAGTCCCTACTGGTCTACAAGAAACGGGATCTAAAATATAAACAGGGATATTGCTGATAGGCATATACGCAACATGTAACTGTTTAATCGTCTGGGTGTATTTTTTAGCCCTATTTCTCCTCACATCCATGTCGAACATCCTATTCCCTAGCCATATGAACTGGTTTGATATCATTCGCACAACTACGCAGTACGTGGCATTTGTTTGTGCGTTTCGATGGCATGAAACTGTGTTGTGATAGGCTTGTGCGCAGCATGTCACCGTTTAATCGTCTGGTTTTTTTTTTTCGCCCTATTTGTCCTCACATTCAAGTATTCCATCCCATTCCCTAGCCATCGGAACTTGTTTGAGATCATTCGCGCTACTACGCAACATGTGACGCTTGTTTGTGCATTTGATGACATGAAATCATGCAAGGATAGGCATGTGCGCAGCATGTCACCGTTTAATCGTCCGAATGTTTTTTTTAGCCCTATTTCTCCTCACATTCAGAGAGAACATCCTATTCCCTAGCCAGAGAAACTGTCTTAAGCTCATTCGCACAACTACACAACACGTGACACTTGTTTGTGCGTTTGATGACATGAAACTATGCGAGGATGGGCATGTGCGCAATATGTCACCGTTTAATTGTTTGAATGTGCTTTTTAGCCCTATCTCTCCTCACATTCAGCTAGTAAATCCTATTTACTAGCCAAATGAACTGGTTTGAGATCATTCGCATAACTAAGCAGCACGTGACGCTTGTTTGTGCATTAGATGGCATGAAACTGTGCAAGGATAGGCATGTGCGCAACATGTCATCATTTAATCATCTGGATGTTTTGTTTAGCCCTATTTCTCCTCACATTCGGGTAGTACATCCTATTCTCTAGCCATAGGAACTGGTTTGTTATCATTCGCACAACTGTGCAGTACGTGACGCTTGTTTGTGCGTTTGGTGGCATGAAACCGTGCAAGGATAGGCATATACGCAACATGTCACCGTTTGATCGCCTGGATGGTTTTTTTAGCCCTATTTCTCCCCACATTCAGGTAGTAAAACCTATTTTTCTAGCCATTATAACTTATTTTAGCTTATTCGCACAACTACGATGCATGTGACGCTTGTTTGTGCGTTCGATGGCACGAAGCCATGCAAGGATAGGCATATACGCAACATGACACCATTTGATCATCTGGATGGTTGTTGTAGCCCCATCTTTCCTCGCATTCAGGTAACATATCGTATTCGCTAGCCATGGGAATTTATTCTAGCTCGTTCGCACAACTAAGCTACACGTTACGCTTGATTGTGCGTTTGATGGCATGAAACCATACAAGGATAGGCATGTACGCAATATGTCACCGTTTAATTGTCTGAATGTTTTTTTTAGTCCCACTTTCTCCTCACATTCAGGTAGTACGTCCTATTCCCTAGCCGGTAGAACTGATTGTAGCTCATTCGCTCAACCCTA